TTATTTCAATTATTAAACTGTTCTTATCAACAGCTAGGTTTTACCTTTTTTCCAATTCTCCTCCCCATCCCACCCGGGTTGGGGAGGAGTGAGCAAGCGACTGCGTGGTACTTAGTTGCTGGCTGTGGTTAAGCATGGGGTGAAGAAAGTTCAAGAGGCAAGAGTCTTCTGTGGTAATACTTAAATTTAACATATTTTAGATTTATTTCACATTTTATTCATATGTTTCAGTAGAATGTCTCCTTATTTTCTGTGTTAAATAAGACTAATATGAAGGTTATTTTTAAGGATATTATTGGGCTATTTCTACAGTAAATCATCAACTGTAGAAACATATACTTAATGGCAAAAAAAAGGGCAAAGGGGAAATTACTGTATGGCCCATGTCATCCTTTTTTTTTTTTTTAAAGCGAGAACTGAGATTTTATTTGCAGAGCTAATCTCTGGTAGTATTTAAAATGTTGACAATTACTTCATTAACATGAAATTAGGCTTCATGGTTTACCATTGTATATATAATGCATACTTACAGTGGCTCTTCCTTCTCAATTTTCTTACTGCTATGAAGATCCTCTTGTTCCTTCATTTTATCTACAGCTTGTGCTTGTTTTTCAATCTCATTAAAGCTTTGGCTGCTCACTTTTTGTGCCCCCAAACCACCTTTTTTGGCACCGAGCTTGATTTATTGAAAAACAAAAAAACAAAAGCCCCAACATTATAACTGAGACAATCACCTCAACTGATTTAACAGTCAATTTCTAAAGCAACGTCAAACACTATACTCTGATCGGGAGGTATATGCAAACAACAATTAAAATCTGGGGCAGAGAAAATATTTTTTCATGTTTTGACCCTCTACATACTTCTACTAACTCTCACAAATTTAGTTAGCTCTGCAGTCAAGCATTACAGGGTAATGAAACTATAATAGTTTTAACTGTTCAGAGGTTGGCTGAACATGAGCCAGCAGCATGATCAAGTGGCCAAGAAGGCCAACAGCATCCTGGCCTGTATTGAAAATAGTGTGGCCAGCAGGACCAGGGCAGGGATCGTCCCCCTGTACTCGGCACTGGTGAGGCCTCATTTTGAGTGCTGTGTGCAGTTCTGGGCCCCTCACTACAAGAAAGACCTTGAGGGGCTGGAGCGAGTCCAGAGAAGGGCAACGAAGGTGGTGAAGGGTCTGGAGCACAAGTCTGATGGGGAGCGGCTGAAGGAGCTGAGGGTGTTTAGCCTGAAGAAGAGCAGACTCAGGGAAGACCTTATTGCTCTCTACAACAACCTGAAAGGAGGTTGTAGCCACGTGGGGGTCAGTCTCTTCTCCCAGGTAATGAGCAATTGGACAAGAGGAAATGGCCTCAAGTTGCGCCTGGGGAGGTTTAGATTGGATGTTGTGAAAAATTTCTTCCCTGAAAGGGTTGTCAAGCACTGGAACAGGCTGCCCAGGGAAGTGGTGGAGTCACCAGCCCTGGAGGTATTTAAAAGACATGTAGAAGTGGTGCTTAGGGACATGGTTTAGTGGTGGACTTGGCAGTGTTAGGTTAATGGTTGGACTTGATGATCTTAAAGGTCTTTTCCAACTTAAACGATTCTATGATTCTATGTTTAAATAAATAATATAATATACAGCACAACTTTAGTTTCTTAATAATGATTTTGTTGTATAGGAATAATATAATAAAATTTGTTGCAGTGGAACCATTTGGTGCTCACTCAATTCACAACTTACGTTTAGAAGTGGCAAAGATTCTTGAAGTAGTTCTCACTGGCCAGCGCTAATGTGTTATCTTAAGAATGATTTATTCATATTTTTAATAAACACGTACATAGGTATTTACTGATTTATGGTATGAGAGCAATATACAAGTTTTGTATGTATGTGTATGCATGATTAGCCTTTGCATGTGACAAAGCATTGTAAAATTTTTTACATAAACACATCAGCTGAAAGGTTCCAGTTTTGCCTCCTTTCTTTTAAAATAATTCTATTTCTAGTTCATATTACTTCAATCCAGAGATACATATTCTTTCATTCTGATTATCAAAGATTTAAAAAAACACTTAATACTACAAATATGAATAGATACAATGATGCTGATTCAGATGGTGGCACAGTACTCAAACTGTTGTTCTTAGTCTCACATATGTTTAACACTGCAACACTGCAGCAATATTAATTTTCACAATACATTTATCTTAACCTTTAAACACTTTAAAGTATTCACGTAAAAGCTCTGGCCCACGTACATACAGTTTTAGGCTCTGACACTACAGTTCATAAACTGTACGTGCACCTGTGTACCCAGTTACATTCTTCTAATGGCAAGGGAAGACACCAGCATATACCACTCAGAGTAACAAATTCCTCTTGTGTATTAGGGCCCTCTAGCGGGAGCAAGAAATAATAGGTTTCAATCTAAATCAACATGCTCCAGTAAACCTTCAAAATCTTTTGCCATACAATAGACCAGACTTAAAAGAAATTACTCCCTGTAACATACTGTCACCCTAATAGCCTAATATTAGGGCTATTTTCTTGGGCCTCAAGAGCCATACATTCAAAGTCTAGCTTTTTCCTAGCTAACTTGAATTACCTTGAGTTGTCTTACTCAGTTTTCAGGTTCCTTGGACCATCAGTCCGAGATACTCAACTCTCCTCATGACTCCTTTACAGAGACCAGATGCCTAAGAAAGTGCTATGACCCCATCCAGAAACAAGTGTGTAAACTATCTTGAAACTATCTTGAATTGAATACAGCTGCAAGTTAACAAGAAATACAACCAAATACCATACTGCTCTGTAGTATGACACAAGTACTGCTCCAGAAATACAGATCTGAATGTCTCAAACTCACCTTGTATTGACAGATTATACCATGCATGTATATTTAGCCACTCAAAAATGCTATTGGAACTCCCTCTGTTTTCAGGATTTGCTACAAAAAGATCTCGGTGCCAACTAACTTAGATCAAAGCCTGAAGAAGCCCTGCAACCCAGTATCAACCAGAGAGAAAAAAGGTTACAGGGCACCAATGGAGTTGCAGGGACAGTGGTTGTGAAAAGAACTGAAGAGAAGTGGGATACAGACTTTGACATCAAGATATGCTTTGACATTTTTATTTTACTCATTTTTGAAAAAATATCACCTGCTATTCATTTCCAGACAGTACAAAGAAAATGACACTCAGATATACATGTGGAAGTCTAGACAGTTCTGTGAGTTATATACATGTAAACAGACTTAGAATTTATCTGAGGTCAGAAAAAAACCCCGCAGATCTGAAGCACTCTGCTATATAATAATAGTAACCTGTTAGACAAATTCATCGCAACAATAATCCATTTTCAAACAGACCACTGCTGTTTTGATATAGAAACAGTTTTCAATTCCATTTTAGTTTCATAAATTGCTACCAAATACTGTTTAGTGCTAACTCACATGATACATTTCCATATTGCAATCTACGTATCTCCAGAGATATATAATACACTTTAAAATATGCATTTTTTTATATACACTTACCCCCTTCTTAGCTTGATTTGGCTTCTTTTTAATGAAGGTGGTGTTCTCTGCAAGGATTAAATGTACATTACTTGACATACAATTTTATTAATTCCAGAACTGCAGAAAACAATTTCCACAATATCAGCCTCCAAATAGTTTTTGGAATTTATTTTAATGCCTTGAAGTACTATAGTTTCTACACTAACAGATTGAGATACTAAACTGAGTTACAGGGAACCGAGCTGTGAATCTCTCCAAGAAAATGTGGGAAATAGCATATTCTCAATCAGAGGCAATCTCTTGCAAATATACAATAGGAATAAAATTACAGCTCAGTTTTCAGTTATAGATACCTGCTAGTAAACAGAACAAGAATGCAGGATTTGCTATTCTGAATCAGACTAGAGGTCCACCTGATCCCATACCATTTCCGAGATGAATTGTTTCCTGGATAGAAAGGTATTGGCTATGTTTAAATCCACCAATGATATGGATAAACATACCTGTATCATCATAAACAAAGTCACAAGCATTATCAGAGGTGACAACCTACTCTATCACCAGATTGAACACCTTTGTTCAATTGCCTAAGTACAGTATTGGGAGTCTAGCTTTATGTATAAAGTCTGAAAGTTCCAGCCTTAATGCTTTGTATTAAACCTTGAAACATAGAAATGAACCTACATTCTGCTCTGCATAAAGTCTGACACAACTCCTAATATTGATATTTTTAATGAGACTCTAAATAGAACTCCCTACCTTCTGTAAGGCACTGTATTGTGCCTTCTTGACAGCTACCCTGAGCCAGGGTAAATCTCCCACAATCAAAAGTTTCCAGTCAACATCTCCTATCGAATGCTTGCACATACAGAAAAACTGGTTTGAGTTGAAATTTAGTTGGAAACAGGCATACACAAAACAGAGATTCTTCACATAAGACAGAACTTGTGATATCCAAAACAAACAAGGAAAGCACTTGTTTTATGAGAATATGTGTTAAAGATACAAATGAGAAAACCAGGAAGTATATGCAGATAACTATTTTTCCTAGTCTCCAGCTCTCAAAAAAAAAAAAACAACAAACCAAAACCACAAAACAAACAACACCAAAACAAAAAAAAACAAAACTAAACCCAACCAAATGAATATAAAAATAGTGATGAAGACTATATGTTTCTGAAGTACTGAGTTAGTCCCAGCCATCACTTCTTTACTACCCCTGTGCTGCTAAGAATCAATACTGTTTATTCTCAGAAACCTGCTCCTGCAGGATGATCCTAAAAATGATAAATCACTGATGTAATTTATTCTATTCTATTTTCCTCAACTTTTTTTTTACTTACTTATAGTATTATAGACTCTTCAGTGTTAAGCAAATTAAGACTCTGGACATTGCAAATATTGTATTACAAATACAAGATTTTTCCAGATTAAATGTTTATGTCCAGTTTTCTGAAAAGGGAGCAAAAATTATGTCTAGGCAGAAAGAATGACCTATTAGTACAAGATGTGTTTGCTTAACATAAAGAACAGGCCATTAATCAGAACACAATGCTCTGTTCCACTTGTGTGCTTTAAATGCAGAACTTAAAGCAGTCTACCAGGAGGTGTAAAACATTAATGGTCATCTTTATCAGGTGTGAAACCTACAGCATTTAAATTCATCAGGCTGGCTGAGATAAGATAGATGAAACCAGAACACCACTGACTAAAATTAATTTCTTAGGAGGAGTACACTGTTTAACAGAAGTTGCAATATAAATTCAGGTATTTCAACTAACTCACGCACACTGATACTAAAATAAGAATTCCGTATCTCTTCCTAGTCATACATTCTGCGTACAAATGAGTATTTAAGTACTCTATACTGGCTGCTATCATCTTCTGCTTACACTCATTACCTAATGCAGCTTTTGGTGGTGTACTAAGGCAATCAACACTTGGTCCATGTTCTGGTCCTAAAATACAATGAATAACAAGAGTAAGAACATCAGAAGGCTCTTTAGAATACTTAAAATACCAAAACACAGCTCACTCTAATCAGGGTACTGTTTGATACATATACTGTAATGTGTTATTTCTATCACAGCTTTACCAGTTACTAAAAGAGCAGCAGGCACCCAAAGATTCATCCAAAGTATTTTGAATTAAATTTGAATTTGGATTTCTATTAAACATTATTAAAGGAACGTGCAGCCCCATGCATTCTAGCATAACGCTTCTATAAAGTCCTTCCTCTCCAAAATGCTTGCATTACTAGCATAGTTAGGTTATTTAACTATTAAAGCAGGGTAAAAAGAGCTCAAACAAAGAGACTACCAGAAAAATGCACCTTATTGTTAACAAAGATTCAGTCATACCTTCATAGTATTCTGGAATATTTTCTGAAGTTTTCTGCTGTAGAGAAACTGGCTCTGGCTCTGATAACACCCATTCTGTATTCTTCGCCTTGAAAAAAATTACAAAATCAGAAGTGCATATAAATAGAATATAGCAAATAAATACGAGCAGTGAGCTCAAAGACTGCCTAAGCATAACTGATTAGTTAATATTGGACTCTTATGATTACAGCTTCTAGGTTTAAAACCTGTTCTCAGAAGGGCAGTTCTTACAGTTACAAGAAATGCCTACCTTTATTAAAAGCAAGCTGGTTTCAAACCACTCCTCAGCACCTGTATTTCCCTCTCAGGAATTTCAATATGCTTACCATCCACAAAATTAATATGCATTTTAATTGTGCTTTAGATTTATTTATGGTATGCTGGCTATTAATTGTCATTACTCATAACAGTAACACAGTACAGGACATCTGGATCATTTATTTACATACCATCACCAAGCCTTCTCCCCACACTAAGCTCTTGCACTTCCAATTTTTTAACACTTAATTTTTGACTGTGAGCAGTTCTCCCAAGTCTTCCTGATGAGTCCTCCCACTTCCCTCAGACACATCCTCCTCAACAGGCAGGTTTGCGACCTGGTCACAACAATATCAGCTTAGTAGTATCTTCTCCACCACTGCTGTGCCACTGACAGTTCATGCTTATTCTTCCCTAAAAACTCAATCTCAAAACTTCCTGACAACTCTCTCAAAACATCCATACCCAAGTAATCTCTTGGCCCAAGGTACACAGACCACTTGTCTCTAACCTCCTGCCTTTGCAGCTACCCAAAAAGTTGGTGTGAAGTTTTACTTTATCCTACCCACACATTCTCTTAAAAGGGTTTGTATCAAGTTCCTACTTCTTGTCCTCAACCACAAAATTATTTACAACACTTTTCTGCTTAAACTCCTTTCTCTTTAGTTTGTCTCAAGTTTATGCTTTTCCCACTCAACTGCAAGCATTCTTCCAAACTGACTTTTGCAAACAGAAATACTCCATTTATTTTATACTATCAGGACAGATGATCTTCTGGTGAGGACACTAGACTAGAATTCAAAATAACTGATTTTTTTTTGTCTTTGCAATGAGCATTTCTGAGTAATAAAGCAAGCTTCCAAGTCTGTAAAATGTAAATACTCTTTCACTGTTCAAAGATGCTGAAATTTATTTTTATAAGACATTCAAATATTGGCTGCCTTAGAAGCTCCTAAAATAAAACAAATAACTAGCAAAAAGGCTGAATTTACCTTTAAAATGCACCATTTTTGAAATCTCATAAGTACAACAAAAAGTTACATTTTGAAATGTCAAAACTGAATAACCAAAAGGAAAAAAATAATTTTTCATTTAAATTAGAGCTTTTTTTGTCCTTAAGCATCCCATATAGACTAGAAAGTCACTACAAAGTCATGTCATTTTTACTGCATTCTTTACTCAGGTGCCGATATGAGCAACTTGCATAGTTTTTTACTACTTGCTGCTAATGCATATGCACAACCACAACGTCATGACAGGTGAATTAACATGCATATGAACTGGTGAAGAGTTTTCACAAGGGCTAATCTGATATACCCAAGCTCTTTGAATTCTTCTGTATCCCAAAATATGCCTCATGATCATACTTGTGTTTTAGTTGTTCACAGACCGCAACTGTACTAGGAAGCAATAATACTAGAACACTTAATATTGTTGCAGTATTTAGGAATATTAGGTGTAGTAATAATTGCTCAAAGTTGAAGATCACAATTGCTGAAGATATATTCACTGGTATTTTTCAAATACCAGACTCAAGAGAGTCTCTGAAACATTAATCTGTGAAATAAACACACCACCTATCACGTAAAGGAGGCAGGAGCAAATAAACAAAAAACAACTGTAGCAATAGCCTTCAGAAAGTTACTTGAACATTTTCAAAGAGGATGCAAGTATTCTAGAGGAAGAGAAAAGCTTTTACTTAGCAAACATTTTAAGAACTGTTAAACTTTACTGATTAAAAACCAAATTTATCACATAGTATATTTAAATCAGAGCACTCCCAACCAAGGAATCGTAAGTCCAAGTGGAATTGTATGCCTACAAAAAAAATATAGTTTCATTCCACATTTAGATACTATTTAGGTCATTCTAAATTATCACCTTAGAAAGTGGTTCACATCCAGGAAGAATTTTAAGACCCACAGGAGGGAAAGCAGACAAATGTTAACTCACTGACCTACCCTTTCTCTATAAAATTTTCTGTCAGGGTTCAATCTTCATCATAGAGCACACAGTTAACTTAAGTGTTTAAAAAGCTAGCATGAATTAAATACAGGTAATGTATACCTTGGGAGAAACATGGGATGCAAAAAAGTCTTCCTCTTTGTTTTGAGGTGACACAGGTGGCATTCCACATCCATCTGTCCACAGCTAGAATTAAAAGAAAGAAAAAGAGAGAGAGATAGAGAGAGAGAATTTTACAGGACAATTGCATTAATTGCACTAATCTTAAAACTACTTGTTTTTTTCCAGGTTAAAAATTTATTGTGTTTTTTTTCCTGGTATATAATTTTTCCTTACAAATTTATTTGAGCTTCAATATATGACATATATGACATTCCTTTTTTTTTTAATTTCATACATCTTTGATATGTTCCTTCACATTACCCATTTCCCTCCTAAAAAAATTCTCAGTGTAAGCTCTGCTGCAATAATACTGTCAATATTTAGTATCACTAGAGCTTTACACTAAGTTTTTTTCATATTCACATATAAGGTATCTTGTCTCTAATACTCTTATTTTGCCCAAAGCAAAAACAACCTGAAAACACAACACTAGCAGTCATCGGAAACAGTTTTCAGATTTTTATCAGTGTGGTACTCTGACAAATTTTCCACTTAGTCTGAGAGTTCCAAAACCTCTGCTACATTTAAAGCAGAGTTTTGCAAGATGCTAACAGTTTTGAGCAATGCCTGATCTCAGGGCGGGCTGGAGGGCCCACACTGCCACAGATCATTCTTAGCATTGTGTAGGACAGGACTATATATAACCTGTGATCTGCATTCCAAGGTTAGTTACTCATAGGCAAAGCATTTCTCATGGTTCTTTCTACTATGTGCAAAAGATATGTGACCAAAAATAATAACCTTTCAAAAAGGTTACTGAATGTATGTAACAGGCTTACCTCATCATTCAACAATCGACTCCATCAGTACATTAGAGAAGAAATTTTTAAAAATGTGACAGGGGAAGGGATGGTTGGTACTAAATCTAATTATCTGAATAATTTACTTCAGCAATTTAGCACATAATCACTTAATCTTGCAGTACAGAATTAAAATATACATTTACTAAATTTTTTAAATAAGAAATACATAATTAATATCAAACAATTGGATGAAATCTGTAATTGAAGCAAGATAATCACGGTTCTTCAAAGCGTCATTCAGGGAACTTACCGTCAACTTAAATACACATGGTATATTTTATTTACTTGAACATGTTTTACATCTAAAGCTGTTTAGTAAGTCAAAAGAAATATTCTCTGAAGTTAGTGATGTGAACTAAATTGTCTATAACATTTATAACATAGAATTATTATAATCCATTAAATTTCATGCTATTTGATGCATAGATCTGATAATAAGGGAACTAGAGAGTTAATCTTAGGAAGACAAGCCTGTTACAATGGTATGTAGTAGTGTGTAACTTTGTACCAGTGCATGACCACATCTGGCATAAAAGTGATAACAAGACCCTTAATTCAAGGACGTTGCGCTCATTATCAGGGACTGCACTTCAAGGCAGGAACTCTTAAATCATTACCAAGGACCTTGTTAGGAGAACAGGACCTGAGACTGCTGTCAATCAAGACAAAGGAAGATGAGAGCTAAAAGTTCAGCAAAAGGACATGGTGATGAAGAAGAGTGGAAGAAGTAAAAGACCACCAGATGTCTCTGAAGACCCCCAAAAGGACTAAAATGGACATATGGAAATGGGGGTTGCCTATGATAATGAGTTCCGGGAAAATTGTTAATATGTTAATCATCTCTTGGAAGTCTTATGAATATGTATAAAAACTAAAAATATAAGCCTGTAACTAACACAAGTACGGTATGCACGCTAGGTGGAAGGATCCCCTGTGCATCCAGCACTGCTAATAAAGAATACTGAATCACTGCTAAATTTGATGTTTAATTTCTTGGAATAAGATCAGAAAAAAACCCAAGCTTTCTTGCTTCTAATTCCCACTCATCTGATCAACTTCAAATGAATCGGCCACAGATTTTAGCAAGCTGAATTAAACAATCAAAACATGCTCTCTGTGTACGCAGAAAAGAACTGTTGTCAAACTTATTTAACACCTCAGCAAACTAATTCTGCATGCTTTGCTAGTAAGTTCTTTCTGTCACCAACCTAACAACGTTTTGACAGCATTCATGAACTGTTTCAGCATTTTTAATGGAGAACAGCAAGTTCAGGACATATATAACTTGCTAATTTTTCAAACTTTTTTTTTTTAGAGAAAAAAGCAAACCCACACATTTACCTGTTGAAATCAAATCGCACTTGAATCACAAATATTTTGTAGTTAATTCTATTAGCACTTTTACATTTTTACATGCTGTACTTCTCAATAATAATTCAGTTCCAGATAAGCAAAAATAAAAACACTACATAATTCATGGAGAAGTGCTGACATTTTTGTTATGCAATACCACTAATACAATTTTGGAGCACACCTGGAAACAAAGAAGTTTCCATTTCGAAGAATACCTGAAGTTTCTGCCTAGAACTCCTATAAGTTACTGCAAATGTTAAAATTAATGTTTTCAACAACCCAGCAATGATCCTGAAATATCCAGCTGAGCTCCATCTCAACATTCTTTTTCCAAATAAAAAAGGTAAGCTACAAATAGTTTAACCCCCAGCTTGCCTATTCACTGCAATGTGTATCAGTACCTCCCAAAGACAGATAAACTTTTGCACTACCAATTAGAAACTTAAAATTACTCTAGGGGGAAAGAAGATAAAGTTTTTCAGAAATCTTAATGACACAGGATACACACTACTCACATCAGTACCATGCTTTCTTGTTGCCTGTGTTGCAAGTGATTTAATCTTCTCCTTGTAAAGCTGAGCAGCACGACTGTTATACTTTGCATTGGTATCATTTGTTGTGCATCCATGTTGATGGAAAAAAGCAGACTATGAAGCAGAACACAGAAAATGCTGTAAGAAACAGGTTCAAAAACTAATGCTATTTAACATAAAAATATATCGCAATGCAGCAAAATACTCCGCTCCTCTACCTAAATCTAAATCTTTTAAATTATGAAGTCTACGTAGATCTCCAAAATACAAAGAAAATTCCATTCTGGTAACCTCTTCACACATAAATAAAACAACAGAAAAAAAAATACATTAGTGGGATGTTTTTAAAGCATATACAAATGCAGGCTTGCCATCACATACAAAGAATCCTAGTTCTGAAATTAAGTGTAGAAAGGAAGACATAAAATTGGTTGCCAATACCTGTGCTTCAAAGGACATTCCTGATATGAAGCCAAACAATGCCTTTTAGAATCTCTAGCATGCTAGAGAGAACAATGCATGTTCAATAGCATCAAAATGACTGTATAAAAATGGTCTTCCTTCAAAAGAAAAGTGTGTGTATACACATATATATGTACATGCTTGTGTATTTATCTAAAAATATAAATATATAAATGAAAAATTTTATTCCCATTTAGGATCTTAAAACAAAAGCAAATCAATACATTTATATCAGAGTTCCACAAGTTGTTTGAAAGATCAAAAAAATTCACTTTCTCAGTACCTAGAATTGACAAGCAAATCATAGCATACATTCTTGCATGAAAGAACACATCAGACTATTACTGTAAAATATAATAAACAAGTTTCTGATAGGATCAGCAAGTCTAGATAACCTAAGGTTATGACCTCATATACTGCTGTCGCAAAGCGTAAATCCAGCATACTAAAGTACCAGACTTTGTACAAAATTAAGCAACAACCATGCAGGAGAGAGATTATGCCAGTCACCTTCTGTGATTACAACAGAGACCATCGTAAACATCACAGATGCCAAAAAGATTGTACATTTTTGTATTTAAATATATACACCTATGAACTTCATATTCAGACTTTTGTTTTTTGTAAACCCTAATTCTAATCATGGTAGAGATTTATTCTGGAAACAAAAGGAATCAAGAACACTTCCGATTTTCTAGCAATCTGATAGCTACAAAGTTCAGGACTGCCTTTATCCAAGATTCAGCATCATCAGGCAGTTATAGAACACAAATGATTAACGTTAATCTGGTACTGCTTGTAAACAGTAGTTAGTAAAAATAAAATTTGGCATTTAATTGGAACAAAAAGGGAATTTTTTTTAATGCAATTAGAAGAAAAATGTTAATTTTACTTTTTAAAATGTCCACAGAGTTTACTAAACGGGTCTTTCAAATTTCAGGTATTAATCTTCCCAGGTAATCCAAAACAGGCCGTTGTGAATTTGAGGTATTTGAGGGGTGGCTGTGGGTATGTTACAACTCTTGGTACGACGTATGATAGGAAACAGTGACATCCAAGCAGAAAGACAAAAATGCAAAATTAAACAATAAAGGTTTCCTGTTATTCTTCTGGTAATATGCTTTCTCAGATTAACTGAAGTACTTTTCAAACTTTGCCATCTCTTCTTTCCAACTGCCTTAAATCTTTTGTATAAAAAAGTTTATATAGTTCAACCAAAGCTTTTAAGCTTTTGGCTAAAAAAAAAATACTTGTCATGTCAAATCTCCCTCTTCTGATTAGTCAAACCTGTGATGTTTTTATGTACTAAGTGGCCTAACAGAAACTCGATGAGTAAATTCACATAACAGCAGTATTAATACAGAAAGGTGTAACTTAGAAAGGATAGGCAGAACAAAAAGAGGGAGAAGACACCATGCAACTGCTCAGATATGTAAGCCAGAGATAGTAACCTAATTCAAAGAAAAATGTTTGACTGGAAAATGCAGAAGTGGAAGATAAATAATAATGATCCTGAATTCATCATTTTTAATATGGAAATATGAAAAAAAATAGAAAAAACAGCAGAATATTCAAGTGTTAGACTTAAGGAAAGCAGATTGTTAAGAAAATTGTTAAGAAAAAGCCTACAGAAAGCAAGTTTGCGTGAAGTTTCTTAAAGGAACAATATCAAGGACAAAGCACAAGTGAAGAAATATAAGGAGCAAGCACTCAGGGAATTACAAGAAAAGTAGAAATTGCTTAGGGAAGTTGCAACTTTTCACACTGGGTGGCTCAACTTTGGGAAGCAATCTCAGTTATTGGTGGTCAATCTTTGAAAAAACATGGGAAAACAGGCAAGATTCCGAAAGAGCTGACAAAAGAAAACACCCTCTTTTAAAATGGAGACTGAGAACAATACAGGAGTCAACAGAACTGCAATTTACAAAAATATTGTGTAACAAACTTACTTGTAAGTACATAAAAAAAAAAAAATCAAGTTGAAAGTAACAGTCAGTATAAATTGGCCCAAACCAAAACACTACTACTTCCTCTCTGACAGTGTACAATGTCTTATCTTTACTTCAGTTGTAACTCAGGTACAAGTCAGATCTTGACTTCAGTGTGACTTCTGACAGTGACATGACTTTTGGCAAGATATTTTCAGAAACCATGTAAGAAAACACAGTCATGGGAAGATGCTCATAAGATAACTTTACAAGCTGTTGGAAAGCCATCTTTCATTAGCTGTCAATGTTTCCTTGTTAAATTAGACATGTATTGACAAAGAATCTGATCTGGCTTTTTCAGTGATTTTTATTAACGACTTGTAAGAAAAACTAAAACATTTGCAATTATACAAAGATGGAAAAGTTGCAAGAAGTATGGACGATGAAATCAGCATTCAGTAGAATTCTTAAAAACAAGAGAGGGGAAAAAGAAAGAAATGGATTGGAAGAATAAAAATATCGCCAAGATGTGCACCAATAAGGACAAACAACACCTTCCAGGCCTAACAAGCCCCAATGTCCAAAGCAAATACTCAGGAGTACATACAGCATTTGCATTTCCTCCAACTTGCATGCATCTCAGCTGAAACCAAGACCAATTGGAATCCAGTTCTGTAGATCTAAACAGAAGGAAATATTTTTAGTTTTATCTCCAAAGACATTTAAAATCTCCCTACCTTTCTTTTTTAAAAATGTTTCTCTCCCTCTCTTTTTTTTTTTTGGTGAAGTGAAAAACATGCATCTATTAAAAAAAAGATCTGTGACAATACACAATGTACAAAATAAATTAATAAAGCCAGGCAGAACTGCCACAGTTTTTCAAACTGTAAAAGCACCTGGCTGACAGGTTCTTCCTGTTAAAAAGCACCAATAAGATACATTTTCAGGAATCACATTTCAACTCTGTCAACAGCAGATGACAATCACGTATAACGGACAAAGTGACAATTCGAAAGTCATAACAAAAATTTTGGGCTTGGTATGAGGAGAATTAATACTGTGATCATTAGGAATGGATTCCTGAGAGGCCTCTTGTAACGCTCCCGTACACAGCAAAAAGGCAGCAGAGGAAGCATTTTAGTTGATGGAAAACATCTGCTTTTATCCGCAATCCATTCTTGGATGCTCTCGCTCCCTTCACGCTGAGCCTTACATTTCAAATATGTAATTATTTATTAGGCCAGAAAGGCCCACAGGCCATCAGTCAGGATTCTCACCTGCAACGTGACAGGCTGAGGGTGCGGATTTACGGCACCGAGGGGCCGACTGAGCCAAGGAGCTGCCCAAGGGGGAGCAGCCCTGCGCCACCCAAGCACCAGCACCCAGGTGACACTGTAATGAACTCCTTCGGGAAGCAAAGCTGGCAAAAATGCTACTTTGCTCTCCAAACTGGCTTGCTGGGGGTCTGATTATCTTTATGATCAATGCACTGTAACACTGTTGAAAAAGATAAACTAATATCTGCCTCAGTCTTGATATGGAGGAATGATAAAACACTTCAACACGCTTACTCCGTTCTTCATTTTCATTGTCTTCAACGTAGAACAGAGCTGACAACAAATGTACACTACTAACACAACAAGCAGATTATGGGTGTGTGGTACATTTTTTTTCCCTACCTATTTACCTAATTCCCAAGCAGCTATGGGATACATCAAAGCCAACACAAACATTAGAAAGGTCTAAATCAGTATTTGAGAGAAGAATGGGTTTTCCTCTCTGAGCAGGTATCTGAACAAACAACCAAAAACATTAAAAGATGCACGTTTTACTACAAAAATATACAAACTACTTACCGAATGAAACTCAAATGAACACCAAGTGATCGATGCGTCCCCGAACAATCAATACAGAGAAAAACACCATATGTTATGCTGGCCCAGCTAGGGTTCTTTGCTCCGCAGTCAAAACACACCTTCAAGAAAATAAAGATCAGTAACAGGACTTGAGCATAACCACGTCTTATAGTTGTATTATAGGTCATGCTAACACCTTTGCAGTGATCAAACTTAAATCCTTGCAGCATTTGTTGATGTGACAACTTCATATTATCCTAATTTTGTAAATATAAAGAGGAGTTACGGAATCTGCCCACACTTGGGTGTCTTTGCCCTAACTAGAGAGGACTACATGCCTTCCTGGTTTCCAGCTACAACCAGTGTACGCAGGGACAACCGGCTGAACAACCGGGTCAGAGCACCCACATCACTCTAGTTCAAACACACATTCAACGCAGTACTTTCAGCACTGCTGAAACACAAAAGACTTTAAGAAATATCTTCCCAAGGGCAGGCTCTCTTCATGTCATACCACTGAGTCTACTCTTTCCTCAGAACGTACATGCGACAGCAGTTATCAGCAGTACTAATGACATCATTATCTACTTTCCTTTACAGAATCCTTGACTCTTAGAGTAGGCCACTGAAATCGAGCTGTCTGAAGAAAGCATCCAGTCCGTGCACCGCTTAGCCCAGCACCCTCTGCCAGACACGACTATTGGTATGATGAATCACGCATGTATTACTATATCAACCTTTTGACTGTTTGTAACAAACTGTGAAAAAGCAAACATATCCACAATTACTGCATAGACAAACCCATGAATTTCTTATCCTCCGCCACCACATTAGACTCCTATCATTCAGCCAAAATTACAAGAGGGGTGTGTGTCTACATCTCATACACTTTGCAGGTCTGCAGACCACCACTTTCAAGTCCTGTTTCAGCTATTCTGAATTTTGTGCTTCTTTGGCTGCAGGGGGGGGAAAAAAAAAAGTATCTGACACGAATCAATTTTCCCTCAGTACTGGGGAAGGTTATGGAGCAA